TAGCTCTGGTATGTTCCACCTTTTCAAATTAGAGCATTTTTTGTTAGAAAAGCTCCTTATGCATGTTCCAATAGACCTATTTTGTAGTAGTGTCAATTACAACCCTAATTAAGAGTGTTTTTGAAAAAATTATTAATTGCATCTTGAAACCCAAACTGTCAAATATTTTTTAATATGATACTTTAAAAAAAAGTTATATAATATTAATTAGCTTTATGTGATGATGCACACAACATGTTTCACTACAAGTGTACAGGTTAATATGCAATATATTAGTATGCCAAGGTCGATTTCATAAGGAATCAAGCACAATAGCAATTAGGAAATAAAGTTCTCACTTGTGTTCATGTTAAGCAAAACTAATTATAATTGATTGATTAACTAAAATTAAAAATTAAAATGAATAAAATGAAATAAGATTCACAATCCAATAACTATGAATGTCCAAGGCAACTTAAAATCACTAATCCCTTGCTAGCTTCATAAATCTTGCTTTAATCCAAGTAATTAATTTTAATGCCAACTTTGTTAATTTAGAGCATTGGTAGCCATAAGGACCTTTCGAACCTCAAAGCCACTCTCAAATTAATCATGTTAGTCCTAACGAAATTATCCAAGATGCAAATTCGCACTTATGTATATTTCTATTCTAGTTGAAAATTAGATAACAATCTAATCCCACATTACTCAATTTAAGGGTCCAAATGACATTCTCATTTGTCAAGGAAAAACCCCAATACATGTATTCATGTTTAATGGTGGTCAAACATCAAGTAGACGATTAAATGCAAGATTGAACAACCAAAATCAACATTAAGCATAACCAATGGCTAAAAACATGTTCTAATCTACCAACAAGTTCATAGTTACTCTAAGTCAAGTAGAATCAACCACTAATAGCCATTAAACCAGCACAAATTAGCAATACTCAACAAAAGATACCACAAAAGAGAAAAGGAAGAAGAAAGCTTAGGAGGGATGATTTCTATTACAAATTGCAAAACTCAAGTATTCCCTAAACTTCTCCAACTCTTTCTCCACGATAGAATGTTCCCTAGACGTGCAGCTACTGTCAAAAAATGAACTGAAATGAAAATTGGTGTTCAAAAAACCCTTGAAATCGAAATTAAGTGAAGTTGTATGCTTTGTTGAAAACAAATGTGATGTCACAACATCCAAAATTAGTGTTGTAGTATCACTGAGCAAGATTTAATTTGTTGTGGGCTTCAAAATTGTCAGCTTTTGGCTCATAAATTTAGCCTCCCTATATGAAAAAACCTCAAATTTAATATAATAATTTATCAAATAACTTCTACAATTGTCTTAAACCTTGTCCACTTTCAATCTCATAAATAACTATTCAATTAATATTTGCTAATTAATTCCACAAGATCACTTCCAATTCCATTAAAAATGCCATTAAATTCATTAAAATATTGAAAGCCATCATGTAACTGCCATGGATTATCCTTTTTCTTTTATAATTCTACAAAGTTAATTTCGAGGGGCTCTTTTCTTTCAATATAATTGTAGCATTCCTCATTCTACCATTGGAAGCCAATTATTGGATCAACCCTTTTTTATGAATTTTCTGATTATCAAGGGATTTGTTTTGTACAAAATACCCAGTCTAATTTTGCTTCATCCCGTGAGAGATTTTCTTTTAAAGAAAAGCGACACAATAATCTCCTTTTCTCTCTGTTTATATATTTTTTGACAAAATTATGTATACTAATAAAATTCATTGAACACATTTTATAATCTTATTTTTAAACACAAATTAAATATAAATTTTTAAAAATATCATCATTAATAGAGAGAGAAAATATAATAAAGAGGAAAGGTAATATTGGAACAATTATAATTAATGAAATTATATTTTTGTCAAAGTGTCTTATATTTTGGAATACTAAATCACCTTTAAAAGTATTTTATAAACTAGGATAGAAAAATATTTTAATTACAGCTGTGAATTTGAATCTTATGAATAAAAAAAATTTAGAACAGTCTCTTTGGCTCAAATCTAAATTAGTTTGTAATATCACATGCTAGATAATTTTTTAAAAAAATTAAAATTAATTTTCATATTTAAAAATAGTTAAAAATCCAAACATTTATTAATCTAACATGAGAAAACCTGGACCTTACCTTATAAAGAAAAATCTTTTCTTATGAAAATGTGGACCTTAATTATGATTTTTTGTCTGAGAAAATCTAGATGAACCAATAATATACAAGGATATCCCATCCTTAAATCTTATCATTATCCCTACTGATGCAGCTTTTTAATGGTTGCTAACTTTGTGTCTGTCAAAAACCAAAAGCAAAATCCCATTCCTTTAATTGTCTTTGTGTCTCAAGATGAGCTCAAGAGTTATTGAAAAAACAACCCCTAAGAACTGTGGGTCCCTTATTTTACATATACATTGGCAATCTCCTTACTCAATCAAAAACTGTTGTTTTGGTAGTGCCATGATAATTCTATCTTTATTTAGGGAAAAAATTTTAAAAAAGACTATATATATATATATATATATATATATTATGTAATGTTAATCTTTTCTTTGGGAAAGCAGATGAGTATTATAGAGGTTAATAAAACCAATTCAATCAAGGAGAGTCTTGAAATTAAACTTGAGAGAGCAATTTGGTTTTTCAAGAAGCAATCCTTCTGTCAAATGATTCCAGGACTAATTATAAGTATTGATTCAATATTTTTGAAGAAGGCAGTTTCACGGTCTATCTTCAAAATATATATCATCTTCATCCACCTTTGGTGCAGAACATTCACAAAGATTACTAGCTCCTCTAGTTATGTTATTTTCAATGTATCTCAGGATGATTATCTTTTGAGAAAAATTTTAAAAAAGATTAATATATATATATATATGTAGTATCTTATATTGCGGTAAAGAAGGTTGGGAACAAACGGGGATATATGCATGAAGGTGTGATAGTGGTTTTCAGGTAGAAGAAGAGGAGGCATGGGAAAGAGGGGACAGTGTACGGCAAAGTGGTCGGGGTCCAAAAATCTGGACTGTGATTGAAGTTGAACATAGGGAGGATGACCCCCATTTTTAAGGGTATAATGATAATTTCTCAAATGCACTAATTAGTGGGTGGAGGTGAATTGAATGGTTCTATTCAATATCATTCATCGCACAACATATATCCATTCAATTTGATGAATATCTTTAGAAAAAATGATTCTAAATATAAGAGGGAAATTCTTTTTCCCTTCTTTTTTTACCAAAAGGGTTAGGTCTGGTGGAAGGAGCTCATACTTCATAGTATGGTGAATCAAGGTTTAAATCCTCATTGGAAGAGATCCTTACATTTAGTACATGGCCATGTCTTGAATATGATTTCCTCCAATAAAAGAATACATGTGAATAATAAAAAAAGGAAAATTCTTTTTTTTTTTTTGGCTGAATGAATGAAAAGAATATTCCTTTGAACTTTAGAATCACTTTTTCTAAATTTTCCATGGGTTAAAGGGCATTTTGGTCCTTCAATTATTCGCTCAAGAGTATCTAGTATCCTAAACTTTTATGTGCTGCAATTTTGTCCTTCAACATTTGAAAATGATGCTTGGGCTACATGCTATTAAAAAGTTAACTTTAATCATTAGTTATAAAAATTACAAAAAAAAGACCCATAAATATAGAAAATGACCCATGAAATTGCAAATAAGTATCCTACAAGAAAATTAATGTCACACCCCAAATTTTATGTGTGACCGGCATAAAGCATGTGTAAGAACTTACATTCTTTAAGCCATAACTCAAGAAATTCCTGATTTTTTTATCATAAACCCATTTATGATAAAAAGGTAGAATTCTTACATGCATAATTTGCATGCGAATGAAAGTCATACATTTGAAAATAGAAATTTTAACAAAACATCCTCTAAAAATAGGATGTTCCAAAAAATTTACAACAACAATTTCAATAAACCGCATGGAGCTCTACTCCTATCAACAGATAGATAAGTGGTAGCTAATCAAGATAAGGATCCTAGAGCACTTAGAACACTACTTATAAAAGTAAAATATATAAATTACTTGATCCAAATTCTAATCCTTAAATTTTCTCTATTCTTTATGATAATCCTACCACTAAAAAACTTTTTTGTTGTTTAAAAAATATTTATGGAAGGAATTTTGTAAATGAAAGTGATTATAAGTATTAAAAAAACCTAAAAAGTTGAAGCTAACCTAAAAAAATGGCATGCCGACCTGAAGAATAGAAGAGGAAGAAGACGCCGCAAGGATGAAGTGATAGGAATGGTTCGTGAAAGCGGGGAGTTTGAATATAATAAACATCTCTCTCTTTTTGGTTTGATAAATATATATTTACTTCTCTCTTTACTTTTCTTTTCTTTTCTTTTTATTTCACCTATGTATACATTTATTATGTTACTTCCGCTTTCATTTTTATTTTAATGTTTACCATATAAGATATTTTAACCTTCTTTCATAATTATCTAATATTAGATTAAAGTTATATCATAATCCGGAATAAAGCTTTAATTTCGTATTTTTGGTTCAACATGATTTTTAAGATATTTGATTAATTCTCCCAAATGGAAAGATAATTTATATATATTCTTTTTTAAAAACGAAAATCCTAGCTTGTGATGATATCTTAATTAAGTTAAGTGTAATGACCCTAAATTTTACATTGAACAAAATTTTCTTCCAATGGATATTTTATTTAAATAAGATTTATAGCAAATAGAAGTTGGTAGTTTGAAAGAATTTATGTTAGAAACTTTCTTGAAGGTCCAAAGTTTAAATTTTTTTGAAAAAAAGTTTGATTTTAAATTTTACAAAGTTTTATGCTCTTTCTGATAATTTTCCTGTTCCCTTTCTTGTAATTTTTGCATATATTCTTGGATCAGATTTTTTCCTTTTGCGAGAAAGAAAAACCGAGCATTTCCTTCTCTTATCTTCACCGACTTAGATTCTCTTTTCTCTCATCACTGTCGGTATTTTCTCCTTACCTTCGACTTGTTCTTCTTCTCACCGTTGGGCCACACCTCGCGTCACTAGTGTGTCTTTGCAGCTAGAAGAGTGGAGTCGCTGGAATCTCTTCGTTCTTTGCTATCATCTCTCGCTTCTCTGTTCAAGTTAGGCATCCGTATGTGTATGTGTGTGTATTTAGCTTCAATCCTTCTTGCTTCCCGGTTGCTAAACGTTTTGTATATGTGACTGAGCTAAATTTCTTTCCTTTCCTGGCTGCAATTTCTGGTTTTTTTTTTTTTTGGCTCATTCGAGCAACAGATCAGAACTCTTCCTTCTTCAATTTTTTTCTTCATCAGCGTCGACGACCTGCTGGTTATGAGCTATTCCTGCTGCACTTTAGGATGAGGTAAATCGTTAATCCTCTCTTTTCCTTCTTCAATGGAAACAACAACACTACAATATTCTCTTCTTCCTTCAGTCGGTTGATGTGGTCCCTTTTCCTCATTATTGATGTGCTATTTTTAGTGAGGATTGAAGTGTGGTTTTGGTTGGTATTAGAAATTGCTTGATTATGTTGAGTTGAGTATAATTAATGAAAGTAAAAGTTTGGAAGTTGTAGAAATTTCTTGGTTACTTATCTTATAATTTTGTCAATCATAAATACATGCCATTAAGGTAATTGTAAAAAAAAAAAAAAAAGGTATGAAAGAATAAATTGGTGAATTAAGTGTTGTTAAGTTTTCATGTTATAGTTTGAAGAAACCTATGTAAATTTTAGCTCAAGTTATTAATTGAAATTTTAAAATATCCAAGTGAGAGAAAGGAAATGCAAAGGATGCTGGTATGATTTGTTATTAAATCTAAAGAAAGCATGAGACTAGTTGATATGAGTTGTTATGACATCGGTTGAGAATAGGTTACAATGAGATATGAGGATGAATTAAGAGTTGGTAAAGGTTTAACTAACTGAAGAATCTCTGAAACATCATCAGTTATAATATTATCTTTAATATTGTTTGGATGGAATTTAAATGCTGGATGCTAACGGTAGTCCCGTTAACCCTTGACGCGCCATGATACACCTAGCTAGCAGGGTGCTTATAGGAGGTGCTAATCCTATGCGATAGCTAATGCACGTGGAACGGAGGAATGGTTATTCGTGAGCATCACACTCACGCTTGTTTTTCATGGACTTCATGCCTGCGTTTGATTCGTGACTCTTGTTGTGCTTGTTTCGTGGCTTTCACCCACGCTTGACTGGTTAATTATCCTCATAGACTGTGTGTCCACGCTTGATTGGTTATTTACTTTTGTGGACTGCGTGTCCACGGTTGTTACTCGTTTTGATAAAGCCTTCCTAAATTTAAACTAAAATTTTCATTTCTCTATTAATTCTCTAAAAGTATTTTGTCGAATTGCATTATTATTGAAAATTTTTATATTTTATGAGCTATATGATTTTAAACATTTATGTTATTCTAACAGCATTATTTAATTTCACATTTATTTTATTGAGAAAACTTGTTCTCTATTGTTAGCATAAGTATATGTTTCATTATTTCATGAAGTTATTTTGAATTAAATTTATTAGTTGCTATCTTTATAATTTTTTTAAATTATAATTTTGATTGGAATGCTACTCACCAAAAATTTCTTTGGTCTCAGACTTTGTAGGTGACCCTGTACCTCCTACTAGTCATTGAGGGGCACTATTGCTTTTGGTTAGTGGAAGCACCTATTGATATTTAGTTTGATTTAAATGTGCATTATATTATACAATTGTAGTTTAATGCTCCACGTATACCGTAGTTAAGTCCTAATCTTATTTTATTTTGTGAAATCTGCTAGTGTGAAGTTAAATTCCCTTTCTAGTTTGGCTGACAGGTTTTTGTTATTATAAAAATTTTTGGGAGGTCCTAATTACAGGTAAAGCTCTGCCAAAATTTCTACAAAATAGTGAAAACTTTACAAACTTCAAATTTAAATGTAAATTATATTGTTAATTTGAATAAATTTTTTAGTTATTTAAGGCTTATGGAATATGAGTCTATCTCATATTCCCTGCTGGTCACACCTTAAATACTAGGGTGTGACATTAAGCCTATCGATCATCTAATAAATTTAATTACTCTTAATTTTTCTCTAAATTTCTATTAACTCTAATTAAATTTTTAAATATTTATATTGGGATGTTACATTGGCCACGACTTGTCTTCGCTGTAACACCCGCCACTGCACGCGAAGTGTTGGCCTCAGTGGACATATTTTGCCTATAATGCCCTTTTGACATATTTAGCCCTAGGAATTACCATGCTTCAATCTTATTTAAGTTTTATATTAATATTTTGGATATAAATTCCTTACTTTGAATGCGATCCCATTGGCACACAAATGTATTCAATAAAATTCCTAAATTATCACAGTAAGCCTAAATTGTATGTCTAAATCTTTTCACCATGATTTAATCTTTTCTATCATGGTAGTCTACTTTAAATGATTTTATTAATTATGTAAACTTCTTTTTTACCATGGTATATCTTTATAAAGATGTTTTTTATTTTTAATTATTATGGTAGACTCTTTTCTACCATGGTAGGATTTTAAAATACTATCTTTTGTTTTTTCTACCATGGTAAACCCTTTATTATCATGGTAGTGTTTTGAGAAAATAATCTTTTGTCTTTTCTATCATGGTACACACTTTTTTAACCATGTTATAACTTTTAATAAGTTGTAATTTTGAATTATTATCTCACTTGTTCGTTTAAAATGTGTTGAAAAAATATGTATTACAATTTTAGGCTTATCAGATATTGACATTCATTTATTGTGATTTTGTCCCAGAAAATAGCACATGTCATTATTTACGGAGAATGACATTCAGGTTTTCAAAAGATTGAATTAATGAAAGTTAGATCCTGACAAAATTATCTTAAAAAATAAGTTGCAAATATCAAATTAGACAAATAATAAGAGTTGCAAACCGGAGTCTCAACTATAATCTAAGAATTGCAATTAAAACTTAAATTCTTATCACTAAATTGAAATTCCTAAATTTGTAATTTTCTAAATAGATATGTTGGACACTTTCAAAAAAAAAAATTGTTATGAATTTAACTGTCATTAATTCAATCTTTTAGGATCTAATTGTCATTCTCTTCCAATTATTTAATCCACTATTGCTTCTATGAACTTATCAAGTTTATTCTTCAAGCATGCATGGCATACTGTCATGTATAATCAATAGCGCAGCCATGGTAATTAACAAGAAATAAATTTCGAATAATTGTCCTTCAAATTATATATTGAGGGCTGAGGGTCATAATTTACATCCAATAGCCAAAATTAAGTAGCATTCAATGACTCGGTGCTAACATATGGCACCTCTCAATTACAAAGTCTAATTTATTATTTGTTGTGGCTTGTTTAATTATGAAGTTTGTTTTGTTATAATTCACCCGTGCCATGTACAGGATATTCTTGATTTCTATATAAATGAATATTAAATAAAAATTTAAATATTGAGCAATATATGTATAGTCATTAAATAGGGAATTTAGTATAAATATATTATATAATTGGGATATTAAAACTTGTTAATTGTTAATTGTCATTTACCATTATCTAATATATTTATAGTACAACATATAAACAAATTAAAATGTATCTCCCATGGTTATTTTTTTCCTTTCGAATTAAAGGCCAATTTTAAGTATAGTACTTAGTTGATATAAGTAGTGGTGTGAATAGTATGAAATGAGATTATGACAACCATATCCTGTGTCCAATCATGAAAAAAGGATAAGGGCTAAATTTTTATCCTGTCTTTCCCATTTGATGGGATCAAGACAAGATAGGAAAATCCCATAAAAAGATCATGGTCTAATCTGAAGATACAATAGAAATACTCTAAACATAATAGATTTGCTTCACAATATATATAATTTTTGTTAACTCATCTCACAAATCAACAAGCTTTTTTATCAACTAAATTTTACCATGTTCCATGTGTGAATCCTTCGCGCCATCTATATATTTCATTTAAATGTCATGTGGGGTACTAAAATTTATACATTATTACTGATCGGTAGAGTAGTAGACAGACATATTTGCAACTTCTTCCAAGGCCTCTCTCCATCTTTGCACCTTCTCTTTGTTTTCAACAAATCTCTGACTATGTTTCCGAAAGGCACAAGTAAAGGCAATCTTATAGAAGATTGGGATAACTTCTCTAAGATTGGGTAATTTCTCTACATAACTAATTTTTGAGTGGAGGTGAATTGAATGGTTCTATTCAGTATCATTCATCGCACAATGCTTATCCCTTTAATTTGAATCTATTTAGAAAAAGTGATTCTAAAGATCAAAAGAATATCTTTTCTTTTTCTTTTTCTTTCTAGTGACAATATTAGGTTAATGAAAGAAACTAGTTTTTTATAATGTAATGAAAATCTCCAAATTAAGAGAGATGTCGACATATATTGCTCGACTATGTCTCAAATATGATTGCGTCTAATAAGAGAATACATATGAGTAATAAAAAAAGAACAAAAAAAAAAGTAAAAAGAATTTGCTTCTGATCTTTAGAATCGCTTTTTCTAAAATTTTCAAGCCACCTAAACCATTACTCTATCAAAAATGCACCATTCAAAATCCATCCTCCTTTCACCAGGTGAAGGGGGAAATATAAAGAAGGTCTCTTTAATTTCAATAAAATTGAAGGGAGGTAAATATATTTTACTCCAAAGCTAGAAAAGATCCATTGTATTGGCATAACGTCTAAAATTGGCTAGATACAACTTCCAAATGGTGTTGGTTCCTATATTTTTTAAGAAAATATTTTTACCCTTTTTGTTATCAAATAGAATTCACTTATATACATTGATACACATAGACCAATAAATACAGTTAAATGTATTGAAATTTAGCAAATAAATTTTTCTTTCTTGTTTTACCCATAAGTAATAAAGTTAATAATCCTGCATCGAAAACCAACAAATTAATGGATATGTCAAAGTTAGTTTCCATAGTTTGGAGTATTTTTTCGGGGGTAATTTTAAAAAATATAATTTTAAATATTTCTAGTACTTTGCAAAATGACTAAGATACTCTCTCAGTCCTTAATAGAAGAGACATCAGAATCAAGGATAGGTGATCAAGTTATTAATTTTGTTTGAAAATATAATAAACTAATTTTATCCCTATTTAAATAAAAAGTTTTTAAATTTACATTACATTCTCTCTCATAGTTAATGAAGTTAAATAGTTGAAATGTTGAATGAATATAATTAATATCACATTAAGTGCCTTTTATTAAGGATTAAAGAATATTTCTAACAGGCATCTTATAATAGGGACCAGAGGTAATATTTGATAACACAAAATATTCTCAGAATGTGACTTACATTTGACAAGCAGAGAGAGTATATTATATTCATCCATTTATATGTAGAATTTAAATTTATCTTGATGCAATTTAAAAAAAATTAGTTATTTTTTCATGTGCTTGTTAGGGAAAATCTACCTAATTTTTCTTAGTGGCAAGAAGTTTACTCGTCTTCCCTTTTACTGAGAAATTAATATTTCCCTTCTTTCATGTAAGAGTACTGTTGTTTCTTATTAATAATATAAGATATTTTTAATTGAATTACACTTCTAATGTCTAGTATAAATTAACTTTAAAATTAAACTTTCTTTTCATATTTACCCTAATTTAATACGGTGTCTTAATTATAAAACCTTATTAATTACAACCCTAATTAAGAGTTTCTTTGGGAAAAATTATTAATTGCATCTTGAACAACCCAAAATGTCAAATATTTTCTAATATGATACTTAAAAAAAAAGTCCTATAATATTGAAGAATGGAGTAACTACCTTGGGTTACCAATTAATTAGCTTTATGTGACGGCCTTGGATTTTCCTTTTTTTTTTTAAATAATTCTACAAAGTTAATTTCACGGGTCACTTTTCTTCCAATATTGTAACATTCCTCATTCTACCATTGGAAACCAATTATTGGATCAACCCTTTTTTATGAATTATTAGACAACTAAAAGAACTTCCAGTCAAAATATAATTAGATTTATTTTAATAATGGGGAACTGCTATTAGGGATCAAAATGAACTTTCCATTCTTCTCATATTTTTTTAGTATGTGTATATATTAATGAAACTTAAAAGAGGCTAGTGCATGTAGTTAATATGTGTTGATTATTAAGGGATTTGTACAAAATCCCCAGTCTAATTTTGTTTCATCCCTTAAGAGATTTTCTTTTAAAGAAAAGGGACACAATAAACTCATTCTGTCTCTGTTTATATATTTTTTTGACAAAATTATGCATACTAAGAAAGCTCATCAAACATATTTTATAATATTATTTTTTTAATCTCAAATTAAATATAAATTTTCAAAAATATCATCATTTAATATAATCTATTTTATTGTGAAATATTAAATAAAGAGAGAAAATATAATAAAGAGGGAAGGTAATATTGGAACAAATATAATTAATGGAATCATATTTTTATTAAAGTGCCTTATATTTTGGGATACCAAATTATCTTCAAAAGTATTTTATAAACTGGGATGGGAGAATATTTTAATTACAACCTTGAATTTGAATCTTATGAATAAACAAAATGTTAGAATAGTCTCTATGGCTCAAATCTAAATTAGTTTGTAATATCACATGTTATTTTAAAAAAAATAAATTAATTTTAATATTAAAAATAATTGAAAATCCAAAAATTGATTAATCTAACATTTGAAAATGTGGACCTTATCTTATCAAAA